TATAAGATTTAAAGAAAATTTACTAACTGAATTATTATAGGATAGTGTTACCAAAATGTACATTAGTAAACTTATAAGTAATAAGAATTATTTCATTTCAGGTCCGCCTCAAATGCAAGGTGGTCCAGCCCCACATGTAAATCCTGCATTCTTCAACCAACCTAGACCAGCAGGTCCGCCTCATGTCCCTGTTCAGCATGGCCCGCCTATTGGTCCACCTCATGGTCCTCAACATGGTGGTCCTCCACAGCACCCTGGTGCTCCTCCGCATGTTCAACAACAACATTTTCCACAAGCTGGTGGTGGAATGCCACCTCGTGCTCCATGGCCTGGCAAACCAGCACAAGCTCCTTACCCTGGTCCTGTCGTAGAATCTAGTCCTCCTGTCAGTGAAAAAGAGTTTGAAGAGATCATGGGCAGAAACCGTACTGTTAGTAGTTCCGCCATTGCACGTGCTGTGTCTGATGCAGCTGCTGGAGAATATGCCAGTGCAATAGAAACCCTAGTAACAGCTATTTCATTAATTAAACAGTCAAAGGTATCTAATGATGATCGATGCAAAATCTTGATCAGCTCCTTGCAAGATACATTGCATGGGGTAGAGACTAAGAGTTACGGTTCTTCAAGAAGGGAACGATCCAGATCTCGTGAAAGGTCTCACAGAAGGCCAAGGCGTGAACGTTCGCCGTCCAGGTATAGAGAACGCGATAGAGATCGCGATCGTGAGAGGAGCGAGAGAGAGCGAGATCGCTATTACAGTGAGAGTTATAGAGACAGATCTAGAAGTAGGGACAGGGAACGCCATGATCATTATCGAGAATCAAGAAGGAAGTTCAAGTCGTTCAGGGCGTGCTATGGCTAACAAATCACCAGGTGACGTAGTGGATGTCGGACCGTGTCAGAGCCTCCGAAAAGGGGTGGAGGTTATTATGACGACCGTTACCGCGAACGAGAACGCGATGGTCGCAGAGATATTGAACGTGATAGAGAACGCGACCGACGTGGTGAAGATCATAGATCAAGGCATTAACTTTATATATTACATAATTATACTCCACGAAACATTCTTTATGTAAAATTGATCTAGCATTCTGGGAAAACTTATTTCAGATAACATATGTAGTTTGTAATAAAAGTAATTTACATTGGTTAGAAATAAAGTGATTCCAGGATCAATATCTGCACTTAATTTATTTTACAAGAATTGATTTTTCTATAATGTTTAACTTTTATTTTTTGATTTATTTTTATATTCTTTTAATTTTAATGACTATGTAATATAAAAAATTGTAAAATATAATTTCCTGATGTATTACTTACGCAATTGTGTTTTAACATAACATTTTAACAAACAAGTTTCTTTTTAAGGAACATGAAATATTTTAGCTATTTATTACATTTACTATAAATTTCCAGATTATGTAGTATATTACATAATGGATAAACTAATAATAAGATTTTGACCAAATATAATAGTTTTATTTCAGCTATGATGATTTTGCATTTTTTAAAAATTGATTTTATACATTAAGAATCAAATTTTGTTTTAGGCTGTATTCTTGTAACTTTATATATTTAGAACTAAATTCTTTTTATTTCTATATGTTCATGTATAAATATTTTCATCATAGCTTGGTTATTTATAGTCTTACGTTTACTCTTGTTCATACACATGCACGGATCAATCAGTGTGTGTGTGTAAATTATGTACATTAACAATTATATGTAATATAGAAAATATATATATATTTATATTATTTACATAATATAAATATATATTAGTTAGGTATAAAGATTGGGTGCTAAATCAATATAAAGTATAATTTATATTTTTTATAAATATAAATATGTGTATATATACAGATTTTTTGAGACGTTGAAAGAAATTAAATATATAAAGCATTCAATTCGTCAAATTAAAAAAGGCTCAATACTGTATCTGATAAAGATACATATTTTTTAATTCTTCGAATAGACTATTATGTATATTCTGGACTATAGTTATATGATCATTTCAGATTATAGATATATGATCATTTCAAATTAGATTCCAGATTTTCATGTAAAAGCAAATATATATGAATCATGGAAGTATATTTTAGATAATAAGTAACTTAAGGCCAAAATATGTATATAAAACTCTAGTAGATGTTGGAGTAAATGATCATATCATTATTGAGCTTTGCATGTATTAAATCAGCATGATTATATATTGTTAATTGTTTCAATGGCATCTAGACTTTCCTAAACTATTTGCTTGATATAATAAAGGCGCCATTACGAAAACGCTCTTATAAAATAATATAAGAATGCTTAATGTTTTTTAATATGAATTTAATGATTAGTTATTAATGTAGGGACATTAAATGAAACGATAAATTATATGAAATAAAATAGGCGGCCATTTTGCAGGGATAGTTTATTTTTCTTAAGTTTTAAGCCCACGAGTTGCGTGCTCATGTCCTTTCGCTTAATTTCGTCAACGATCGTGCGCACTCGTAACAAGCTCGTAAAACCAAACAAAAAGACGTCTGTGGGTTGTTGTGTTCGTGCATAAAGTTTCAGAAAGAGAAAATAAGTCTGGCTTGTAGGTAGTGGCGTGTCAAAGCACGTATATTTATTTAATATGTAACAGAACAATGTAGATAGTGATTAAATTATTATGCTTACCATTTGAATTAATTACAGAAAACAAATTAATTTATGTATTAATCGCCACTGCTTAATAATTAGTATTTCAAGTAAAAATGTGCGTTTGTTTCTATAAGTACCTGTGTTTATTGTGTCTGAAGCTTCTTGCGCGTGGGTGAAGTAAATAAAATGACATTATGTATAGTTGTGATTGACAATTTAGTATAAAATTATTTATAACATGGAAATTTTTAAATATTTAATTATAATTAAAATACTTGTGATAGTGTCGATAAGATGGTGTTATGCCAATTTTGACGTATACTTAAATCGAAATGAAGTAATGAAATTATTAGGTGAGTTAAGAAATATGTATTTTTTCTGTGTAGAATGAAATGTTATCGTATTTTGTGATAAGATTCTGATTATTTGTATGTAGATAAATTACCAATAATGTTTATTTATCGTAAGTTATATTCTTGTCTACTAACAATTTTTGTGCGGTTTCGGCGCTACAGATAACATCTTTTGCTTGTGACAGATGAGATGTAAACAAAAGAACACCCAAGAGTTCGTTGAATTCCGACTCTAATCCATCTTCCTAGAATATTGAACTTGAAATATACTTTTTTATTTATTCAGTAGCTTTTGCATTTCAGATGTACGTTTATATATTTTTTGAATAATCCTACCCAAATATAATAAATTAGTTTGAATTTAACACGTACAGATAATATATAAATTAAATATAATATATGTGTACATAGATAAAAGAAGAGTATATGTATGTGTATATGTATATCCATTGTGTAAAATTTCTATTAATATTCAATTGGTATATTAAAATACTATTATTTACTACCATAAATCAAGCAAAATTCTTAATTAACCTTCATTGATTCCTTATCTTTCCTTGTTCTTTGTTAATATAGTTTATTTACATGATTATATGAAAATATGTATAATACATAACATAGGAAAAAAGTAGTAATAACTTCCTTCTGGGTTTATGATTACTAGTATGAATTGTGTGAAATTAAATATATATAATACAAATATATATGAGTAATTATGATTATCGCCAAATTTAAGTTAATGGTTCAATTAGTTGTTGTTAGTAATATAAATATCATTTGATGTCATCTGAATGATGCTTATTTCATTTATTTATATTATGCAAGCAAAGAAGTATTATACATATTAGATCAAGACTGATATTTTTTTATAAATTTAATTGAGAAAAACAAATGTTAGTTTGTATGGCATAAAAAATGCCATAATTACGCTAATTTTTAGCAGTAACTTTATTTCATAAAGTACTAAAGCTACGAATTTAAAAATACTAGCAAAATTATATCACTTAGTTATTAATTTTTACACTGATGATGACAAATCAGCCTCAAACAGTTTGTTTCAAGTTCAAGATTCAAATACATTTTATTACATTATGTAGGGTATGATACAATTTAATTGTGTACATATTTTTCTACCTTATGCATTTCCAATATTATATTAAGAGTTATTTATAAATAAATCAAAAAATATTTTACGAAATGTTTATTAAATTATGATTTATGTTAGATAACAAAGTTAGAAATCAAACTAAATTAACAAAACCGCAATCTTTGCTAAACAATAATTAATACTATCAATCAAACTTTGGTATCAAAAAATATGATTTTAAGCAGTAGCACCTAGTACCGGACATTTCAAAATAACCTGCATTGATCACATATGTAGCCGCCTCCACACTTTGGAATGTCTGCACATGTGTCTTTGACGAATATTTTTAGATATTGCAAAAAAAAACACTATTTATCTACCCTTTTGGCTGGGCCACACCGATGCTCTCAACTGGAGCATTCATCATAAGATTAGATTCTTTGACTAGGAAATATGAAGAATGGGGGTATGTAGTGACCGTTAGCACTCATACAGAACAAAATTAAATAATTGGAATAAATTACGTAAATTCTCACAAGAAATATCAATATGTTTACTGTCCGGCACTAAGGGATGACATATTGCTTCGGTGCTAAGAAACAGACATTTTCGTTCATTTGGTGGCACCTACTAAAATTTGGTTAAAAGATCTAATGATATTCTACCATTTTACGGATAACAATCAAGTACAACTTTTATCTTTGCATACCACTCAAATGTAAATGCATAAATATGCTAGAATTACTTCCATTGATATTTAGGTAACGCCGTGATTTTGCGCCTAAAACATGAAAGGGTTGCTCTCGCCGTGGCCGTGTGCGTCACAGGCGAGGCTTGGCGCGTGATCCTGTACCTGTGTGCCCCCCATGCTCCTTTCACTTGTATTTTGAAATGAAAAGATTTATACTCGCTTAAATAATACGTGTTAAATAGAGTGTCCGGTTTTTGGTGCCGTCCGGCGTTACGGTACTTCACCCTACATGTAACAAAAAAAGAAAAACTATTAGTAGTTTTTTACAAAAATTACATCTATGTGTTTTCAAAAGGTAATAAAATAACCAAAAATGGAGAAATGCAATTTTTGGTTATTCCATTATCTTTTTTAAAAAACCGTTTGTAACTTTTACTTGTTATGAAATGAAGTTAGTGCAAAAATAGATATTTACAAAGTTATTCGTTTTACTCATAATAAAATAATCAAAGCAAATCAATTGTTTGTTTTTAGACAATACATTCTGTTTATATTTTTGCTAATTTAAATTTATTGCATATCAAATTTTTTTGCACATAAAAGCTCTTCTGTTTTTATGACACCGATGATAGAGTGATAATATTTCTACATCAGCAAATTTAGTGTTATATTCCTAGAATGAAATTGTGTGAAAAGTCTTTGCACTTGCCCACTTTTACTTTGATCAATGTCGATGGAATTGCATTTTAACACCATATGCGGACTATAGTGTGATTATTCACCCTCTTCAAGTTGGGGCGGTTTTTCCCTCATAATTTCAGTCCTCACAAAACCAATATTGAAGGCTTTTGTGATGACATATTTGTTCGAGGGAGGTTGCAGTACATGAAATACAAAATAGGAAGCAATATATCGATATTGTTCGAAATTTCGATTTTTCACTCACAATAAAAAAGGTTCTTCTTCTAGTCTTAATTTTAACTTGATATTTTATTGACGATATTTGGGAGTATATTATAAACTTGCCATAATAATTCTTGAAAATTTATTATGCCTTTTTCATATTATTATTTATGTTTTCTTTCTAACATTTATTATTCCAGACATAAATGTATTTACAATTAGTGCTTTATTTATTTATAATATATAGCCCCAGAATTTTGTTATTACGCAAAATACCTAATATAATATAAAATATTAATTATTTGGTATCAGACATTTAAAAGCTACTTGGAAGCAAATGTTTGGAAGTAAATGATTTTATTACTTTTTTATGAGACATAAATACATATGCTATATTTATAACGTGAGTATTTCTTGTAATACCATCCATCTTATAAATCAAAGTAAAAAAAATAATTTAAAATAAAATCATGTCAGATATACTTTTGCTAAAGGTAATAAAGTACATTGATATGTTTGATATTTAAATGAGAGTAACAATGTAAAAAGGAATTATTCTATATATATGTATATTCCAAGGTAGATGAATTGTATGAATATTTATTGTGAATTTTATGAAGTATGATGTAAATTTTAAAAACACTACATTATTTGAAATGAGAATAAACTGCAAATATCATTTATGAATCTTTATTTCAGTATCTTGAACCATACTTCTATCAACTCCCTCGCCCAGCATAAATTTTAAAATATAGCGATGACAAGTTAATGTTTTTGTAGAATACCATATGCGATTATAGTTCTCTTTTATTCACCCTAGTGAAATGTCTTTCAATGAATACACTCAATAAAATGAAATTTATTTCCCACTTTTTTCATTTCAGGGTTGTCTGGCGAACTGTTCTACGTTCGAGATGGTCATGTCAATGAATATGCCATGAATTTTATAGTTTTGGTGCCTGCGAGCATAAATGTACTTACTTTTAATTGGCAAAGTTATACAGATAAACCAGTGAGTAGATAATTAATTCAATATTCATGTGTTTTATGTAACTTTTATTCATTTACACATATGTAAAAGTAGCTGAATGTACTGAGAGTATAGTTTGACGCGTGAAATAAAACACACACACACACACACACACACATATATATATATATATATATATATATATAATTAAAAATCGTAATTTTTGCTCTATTTTTTTCACAAAGTACTGAATTACGGTCTACCCGACGAACTCCGTTTCGCCACCATGATGGTATCGTGAGAAAGATGAAGAATTTTTTTGTTTGTCTTACGTTTGAAAAGGAAAAATTTGATTTTATTACACAACAGTAATGAATTTATTTCGATTTTTTTAGTTGAACTTCTCTAAGTAAATGAAAGTCAATCCGCTAATTATCCGTTTCATTGAAGTGCTCTTTGGTAAACTACATTTTTTGTTTTTGGTCTGACGTTAACACAAACAAAGCGGATGGTTTTCCAACTCTAACAGGCAACGTATAACTGCACATGTGAAAAACAATGATTTTCTAAATAATCTATTTGAAATTTATCCCGCAAACACTAAGCGATTGGCCTTACGACTTGTTATTGCGAACTGGAAATTGCAATCGTTTGAAGTCAAACGGAAGACCAGTCGGAATCATTGGTATGTCACCAAATCGCCAGCAATTTTTGATTGAATGGTGAAATTCAGTGCGTGTACATCATTATTCTTTGCGACAAGAATTGCTCGTTGACTTAACCAAGCATAATTCTGATAATTCTTACTAATGCCATTACTCGAATTTTTAATTGCGGTGCGTGAAGTTCCAGCAATTTGCATTAAGGCACGATGCATTATTAATTTTCTTAGCTATAAACCTTGCGGAGCCCGAGACTTGGTATTAATAAACCATTAAAGTCCTACGGAAACTGGTTCAAATATAAAAATTGAAAATTTGATTCTAGAAATTACTTCGAGTTAACGTGTTCGTTCGTCTTTAATTATGTGTAATAAATTCACTCGGAATACTTCTAATCACTCATAAATTGATTTGTTTATTATTGATTAAGTCGATTATTTACACATATCGGGAAGTTCATGTAACTTGCCTCAAGTTTAAATACCAATACCAACTAGTTGGACATATGTACATCAAATCATCAGATATTTTATAAAGATTTTAATAATGTGTACACATTTTGTGTAAATTTTTTTGGGTTTCGTACCAAGATTTCTAATTATGGTACGGGAAGTTCCAGCAATTTGCCTTGAGGCACGATGCCATGCGCCCCACTAGTTCAGTTTTTTTTATTAGTTCTATTATTCTGTTTTTCTTTCAAAATTTATTATGATGTTTATTCTTGATTTTACAGCTACTATACTCATTGAATGTGGAGGTGTCCGATCGCACCGTCATTCCATATCCTCATTTCAATGTGTCTAATTCCGACCGCATGCCCGTCGGCCCAAACGAAGCATTCAGCTTAACACTGGCATGTTCCGGCAGTGTAACCGCAGAAGTCAATGTTACAATACGCTTAGACGTCAATGTAAACAATAAAAATACTCACATCAGAGGCAATAATGACATTCTCAACATCGAAAGTATTAGAAATAACGAAAGGCTATTAGTTGATTACGACGAAGAAATTGGCCATGCTGGCTCCAGAAAGAAGCGAAGCGAGGACAGCTTCGTTATAAAACGAAGTTCTCTTAGAAGCGATGGTGCAGACAAAATACCGCGACGTGAACACGGAATGATCAGTCCTGGCCGAGATAGTGACCAGGTTTTGGGATACCCAAATAAGAATGGAGTGGTTTCATTGATTTTCCGAAGAAAGAAAATTTGTTTGAAAGATACGGATCAAAATATTTCCAGTAATATGGTGAGTATGAAAATATTCTGTCTATAAATATAATAAGATATAAATCTTAGGGCTATTCTTTTTGGGAATAGATGTTCTCTATAAATTTAAGGATTTCAAAATTGAGTTTTCAAACTTACGCTTAGTAAATACAAAATATTGTTTTATTTTCTGTTTTTCTCTTAAATTAAAATACCTAGAGATAAAATGTTTTAAATTGATTTGTTTCTAAATTTCTTCATCTATTCATAAACTTTCATTTTTAACTTTCCGTAGGGTAAGTTATAGTAATCGCAAAAAAACAAAAATGAAAATTTTTATATATATTTACGTTTCAGAGGTTTCTGAATATTTTGGCATACCTTAGAAAAAATGGATGTATGTGTGTGTGTATGTGTGTTCGGATACAAATTTTCGTCGACGATTTCGGGAACACGGATGAAGCGATTTGAATAATTCAAAAAACATTCGATTTGCATTGATAAGGAGACGTGCTGATTAGTTTTTGGCAAAGGCAGGTCTAGCCGTTCCGAAGATATGGGGCAAAAAGTGCCAAAAACGGTAACTCAGTTTTTAAGAGAACGGAGCGTCCGATTTGAATAATTCAAAAAGCATTTTACTTGTATTAAGTAGATGAAGAACTGATCAAATTTTCATGAAGGCAGGTTTAGCGGTTTCGGAGATCTAGTAAAAAAAATTTAAAAAAATGCCATCTGGCGGTCAAAAATGATCATTAGACATATGCACATCAAGTTATCAAATATTTTATAGAGATATTAACAATAAGTATAAATTTTGTTTACATTCCTATGGGTTCCGTACCAATGCTTATCCGTTAGCGGCGCGGCGCTTACGCACTTCGATATTTCGTCTCTATGCAGTTAAAGCAGTACGATTACTTTGAAAAAAAATCTAATTTTTCAGAGTAATTTTTTTCAAAAATGTTAATCTTTTAAAATAAAAATAATTTTTGGTACGGGAAGTTCTAGCAATTTGCCTTAAGGCACGATGCCATGCGCCCCACTAGTTAATTTTTAATTTACAGCATTTTCTTTTCTTGCATAAGTCGGCCAACACCTGTATTTTTGTACTTTGATTATGTATATATATATATATATTAGGTGACCCGGCAAACAGTGTTTTGCCATAAAAATATTTCTAGTTTAAAATGTTTAGTATGAAAATAACTAACTCATGTGGTACATAAGTGAAATGAGAAGTAAAAAGAGTTCTATGTATTTTTAAATTTTAAATTATGGAAAATTAAAATAAAGAAAATTGGTCTCAAAATTTAAAAAAATGTTAGGCGAAGATAACCCTTGATGAAAATTAATAGTATTTTGAAGTAAAAAGAGTTGTATGTATTTTGTCAATTCTGCATTAAAAAAATTAAAGTAAAAAAATTACCTCAAAATAAAAAGAGTGTTAGGGTTTGACAACTCTTAATAATAATAAATTGTATTTTAATGTAAGATATAAGCTGTAATTTCTTCATGATCAAAAATTTGAAATGTCTGAACGCTGGATAAACGATGATTGAATTGCTGAAATGACTATAAAAATATAGGGGCTGATGATAAAAAAGTAAATATAATGGGTTAGGTGCCGTTCAAGTATTACGTAAGCACTATATGGGGGTGGGGGGGTTATTGATTTGCTTATTTAGTTTATTTTGGGTAAGAAATTTGCTTACTTTTGCTGACAAAGGGGAGGGGGGGTGGTAAATAATTGTAATAAATCTGCTTGCGTAATACTTGAGCGATCCCTTATACGTATTATTTATTACCACATTAGATAAAAATAAATACAAAAAATCGGTCTTTGTGAGACGAAAATTTTATAACAAACATTTGTTTTTCATCACACTGGTTATTTTAAGGTTTATGTGGACAATCTAAGTTCGGCAACGGATCCACCTATAGGACTTTTACATCTGACACTCGGCAGTGCCTGCGCCATCGGTGCTGTATGCGTAACATTCTTGGCCGTGCGATTTTGCTCTTTTCGGCCCTTAAAACGCGACAGGCAGGCTGCTCCGATGACGAGGTCATTACTAATTCGGCATGAACATCATGAAGAAGAAGATATTGCAAAAGCACAGAATGTAGCTCAAATTAGAGGAGTTGATTTCAAAAGTTACGGTACTGATTTGAATGTGTGCGGTAAAGCTGATGTAATTGCAAGTAAAAAGGATAAAGCTTGTAATGGAAAGGACAGATTGAGCGGTGGCGAAGAGAAATCGAAAGAGGAGAGACTTCAAGACAAAATTGCTGAAATTACTATTCAAAGGTATTTTGTGTTTCATGGAATTGTTTTACAAAAATTGCATGCTATCGTTTCTAAAACACCGTGAAAGGATAAGAAAGACTGTGATCATAACTGTTGCATATTCTCAAAACTATTATCGCGGTATATATTTATAATAATATTAACACTAGATATACCAGCCATTTGATTATACCTATTTCTATCAATACCAGTCAAAATGACTGGTCTCTATGAAAAAATGCTTTTTGTGATTTTAAGTCGAACAAAACTAATCGCAGCTGTTAAATAAACTTATAGATATTGCCAAATAAAAAATATATTAATTTTTAATAGTTTTTACAGTACTTTAGTACAATACTCAATAAAAGTGTCCGGCAGCCCCCACTTGTTTACGCGTAAAATTACAGCTAACAACGTGTTTTTATATTTTAATTTCAATGCCATATGAATAATTGTAAAAATAATATAGGCTATTGCAATTATACTCTTCATGGTATTTGTTTCAAGAAGTTTCATTACTACAATTTTGCTTTGAGGGGTTGATGCATCGTCTTTCCCTTAATACGGGCTACCATTTACCGTATATTTTGTTTCCATATCAGATGCCAGCTAGAATTTTATGTAAATTTATATGGTTTCTTTAGTATTTACTGTCTAAATATGCTTCTGGCCATTGTTGGAAAATGTTATTCAACCAAAGTGATATGAGCTCCCGATTTGAAACATCTTTTGCTATATTCTATAATTTGTTCCAAAACCGGGCCTTTTTTCTGTAAATTTGGTCCAGGTATGTCTCTGAAAGCTCTTTGAACTTCTAATCTACCTGCAAAACCTATTTAACTTTACTACAAGTCTTGTACAAATAGTTTCAAACCAATTTTAGTTTCCTGAGTTGGTGCATTACTTCCAAATTCGTCTTCAGAATTGGAAGAAAGTGGATCGCATCGTCTCATACGTTTGATTGAGATATCTATCCATTTACTAACGTACTTGATCCATCTGTATTGTCTTTATCCCGAAATTTTCCCATTTCTAATATAATATAATAGCACTGCCTTGTGGATTTAATTGTTTATCTAACTAGTTGGTTTGGTATTTAGCCTTGAGGCAAGTTACATGAACTTCCCGAAATGTGTAAATAATCGACTTAATCAAAAAAAATGTGTAAATAATATACTTCATTAATCCTACTTTAAAAAAAAACGATAATAATTTTAGCAAACTTTGACGAATTTTTAAAATTAAACTACTTGTTGTAAGGCCGTAATATTACAGTAAGTTCTATAAGACCATGATGTATATCGCCAAAAAAAGTTTCATGAAAAACGGCTTAATTTTTTTTTAACAGTTAATTACAAGAAAACGGCTCGGTAGATTTTCACCTAAAATTAATCAGCATCATTCCCAACTAATATCTTTCGAACAGTTTTTGATATTTTAAAATCGGTTCGGTAGGATGAGCTTAAATGTCGACGAAAATTTAACACTTTTTTTCAACAGTTAATTACAAGAAAACGGCTCGGTAGATTTTCACCTAAAATTAATCAGCATCATTCCCAACTAATATCTTTCGAACAGTTTTTGATATTTTAAAATCGGTTCGGTAGGATGAGCTTAAATGTCGACGAAAATTTAACACTTTTTTTCAACAGTTAATTACAAGAAAACGGCTCGGTAGATTTTCACCTAAAATTAATCAGCATCATTCCCAACTAATATCTTTCGAACAGTTTTTGATTTTTCAAAATCGGTTCGGTAGGATGAGCTTAAATGTCGACGAAAATTTAACACTTTTTTTCAACAGTTATTACAAGAAAACGGCTCGGTAGATTTTCACCTAAAATTAATCAGCATCATTCCCAACTAATATCTTTCGAACAGTTTTTAATTTTTCAAAATCGGTTCGGTAGGATGAGCTTAAATGTCGACGAAAATTTAACACTTTTTTTCAACAGTTAATTACAAGAAAACGGCTCGGTAGATTTTCACCTAAAATTAATCAGCATCATTCCCAACTAATATCTTTCGAACAGTTTTTGATTTTTCAAAATCGGTTCGGTAGGATGAGCTTAAATGTCGACGAAAATTTAACACTTTTTTTCAACAGTTAATTACAAGAAAACGGCTCGGTAGATTTTCACCTAAAATTAATCAGCATCATTCCCAACTAATATCTTTCGAACAGTTTTTGATTTTTTAAAATCGGTTCGGTAGGATGAGCTTAAATATGTACGAAAAGTTTTTTCGAATTACAAAGAAACGGCTTGTCAGATCGTTGCACAAAACTGACAAACGATAGTCCTCACCGAAATACATCAAATGGCTTTTAAATTTCTAAAATCGGTTCAGGCGTTTTTGAGAAAACGTCGAGCAAAAGTCTAATTTTGACAAATGCCAAAAAGACCATACTGATTTTTGCAAACTTTGACGAATTTTTAAAGCTGAACCAGTTGTCGTAGGGCCGTAATATTTTAGTATGACCTAGAAAACTATGGTATCTTTCGTCAAAAAAATAATCATAAAAATCGTCAAAATTTTTTTTTTAAAAACTTTATTACAAGAAAACGGCCCGGCCGATCTCTACCAAAAACTAATCAGCACGATTCCCAACCAATATCTTTCGAACGGTTTTTGAATTTTCAAAATCGATTCAGAATTGCGGGCTAAAACGTAGACGAAAAATTTTTCACTTTTCTGCCATTTATAAAGAAACGGCTTGGCCGATCGTCGCACAAAACTGACAAACAATAGTTCTCGTCGAGATACATCGAATGGCTTTTAAATTTTTGAAATCGACCCAGCCGTTTTCGAGAAAACGTCGATTTACGGCAAAAAATCTGTTGGTGCACACGCACACACACACATACACACACACACACACACACACACATACTTTTTCCAAATTTGGTCTCATTCGATTCAGAATGGCTTGAAACGTCGAGAAAACATAAAATTAGCGAATCGGATTTTTTGATGAAAACATAAACTTCTCCTTCGGGAAGTTAAAAATTCACCGTCACTATCATATATTTCAAATCCTAGGTCCAAACATTTCAGAAATCCGCTGATTGTATTTTCCAAACAAGCTAAAAAAACATTGTTTCCATTCTTTTTTCGAAAACTGGCAGTCGCTATAAAAATAAGTCGAAACCATGGTAGTTTTCTCGTTTATAGTTTTTTTTTTACTCAAGAATATATTTTTGAAAATTTCTGTGTCCGCCCGAATGTTACTTACTTGTATCAGTGTACAAAAAGAATAAATAATTATACTTGAAAATCACTTTGAATAAAATTTTATTTAGTGTGTTGAACGAAGCTCGAAACAATTGTTTTGTTGGTAAAAATCTAGTAATACTTCAGCAATCTGCATTTTTACAATGTAAAAGATAATAAAGAATAAATAATGTATATTGTCGTCGATAAGAGAGGCGATAAACGCATACGATCTATGGCTATTGTTATTTCGGTTCTTTTATCAAACATTTTCTATAGAAACTTGCACCAGTCTTGACTGGTGCTGTTACAAGTAGTAGTAACACAATTTATTTTTGTTACTAATATATATAAAGTAACTTTGAATGCACAAAATGATTTCTATACTTATAACTTAAAAAGTCATAACTTCATTTCACAAAACAAATCTTACATATAATGGGAATTTTGAATTGAAAGTGCCCAACCAGTCATTTTGACTGGCGTGGTATATCTAGTGTTATAAACTATTTTAAGTAAAAATTTAGGAATGGAGCGGCATTTTTGTCAGTGTCCCAGGGCGCCAAATTTCTAAATCCGGTCCTGTATATATGATTACATTACACTTTGTAATACACGTAGTGGACTTTAGTTTTAATACAATCTTATAAAAAACTAGTGGGGTGGGTGGCATCGTGCCTTAAGGCAAATTGCTGGAACTTCCCGTACCGTAACGAAACGTTCGAGGAATATTGAATGTTTTCAAATAGATTATTATAAATATTGTATTATTGTCTAATATTTATAAGAATTATATAAACTGAATTGCAGAGTTGAAATTATTTGTTTAAAGTATATTAGAACTATAGTCAGAATTAAAAATAAAATCTGAATTATTTTCGATATACAAAAAATTAAAAAAAAAAAAAAAAAAAAAAAATGGTGCAAAATTTTTTTTTCCAAAATCAATTTTTTTGTTAAGACAAGCAGAAAGTTCTTTGAATCAATTGAATCGGACGCTTAGTTCTCTCAAAAACTGCCATTTTTTGTACATTTAGCTCTGTATCTCCGAAATGGCTGGGCCTGCCTTTGCGAAAAACTAATAACCCTTTCTCCCAATCATTACTAATGGAATGTTTTTTAGATAATTCAAATCGGATGCTCCGTTCTCTCAAAAACTCGATTTCTATTTTCTGCACTCTTTGCTCCTTATCTCCGTAACTGCTGGACCTGTCTTTGCCAAAAACTAATCAGCTCTTCTCCTTATTAATAGGAATCGAATGTTTTTTAAACCATTCAAATCGGTTGATCCGTACGCCCGAAAACGTGGACGAAAATTTGTATCCATACATACATACACACACACACACACACACACACACACACATCCATTTTTTCTGAGGTATGCCAAAACGTTCAGAAACCTTCAAAACGTCGAGAAATGTAAAAATTTTCAATTCCGATTTTCGGCCCATTACAATAACTTACCCTACGGGAAGTTAATAAATAAGCTTTGAAGTTAGATTATTTGACAAAATAAATGCAGTGATTTAAATTATTTGAGTAAAACAATTATGGACCATTCTATTTTATTATTAGATGCCGCATTCGTTTGAGCAGTCTTTTGCAAGAAGGCACATTCGGTCGGGTATATCGCGGAACTTACGCCGAGCAAGATTTGGACTCAGACTGCTCCTTTTCGAGGGATAGTCGAAAAGGCGTTATTGAAAGTAGTAATAGCGACTACCAAATGCTTGCACAGAATTCATGTTCCAGCAACGATATCACTAATGATGATCAAGCATCGTCAAAAGCTGACGACAGAATTAGTAAAGAAAGCAGCGAAGCACAAGTACTTGTGAAAACTGTTTCGCAACAGCATGCATCGCGTGAACAAGTCTCTTTACTTCTGCAGGAAGGTCTTATGCTATATGGATTACGCCATCCAAATCTGCTAACTGTTTTGGGAGTGTCTATAGAGGATTGTACGGCGCCTTTCATTGTCTACAGGCTTCAAGGAGAACATCATAATTTGAAGATGGTAAGTTTAGTCTTTCTCTCTTATTCTAATTAACAATAGATACAGTATATTAGAGTTTACTTTAAGCTTCTATAATATGTAATCTTATTTGAAAAAATAGATTTTGGGGCCAATTCTCGGATAAAATAGGGAATGCTCTGTCATGGGTCTATGTTTGTATGAGTTGGTAGTCAGTATATATAGTATATATACTATATATTTAAATATATATGTAAACTTTTACACATTAGTAACAACTAGTATTTGGCAATGAATTAATCAAGTTATTACTAGGCTTCTATCTACTGACCCACTTTGTTCATGGAACTGTTCCGTGTGTAGTTTTTTGCAGTTTTTTTAGTCTGCGTTTTGATCAATCACAATGAGTTTGTATATTTCAAGTAAATTTGGTGATACAATTATAATAACTCAATAATAATAAATCTTATAAAAGAATATAAGGTTAGTAATTAGCTGAAAATAAATGATAATCATATGTAAGTGTTGTGTTTGTATATCTATAATAAATCTAAATTAACGTTTTCTTTAAGCTTTGACACATTCATATAAATAATATACTACTTAAATTATTCTTGAAAAAGTAGCATAAATCAGTATAATTAGATGTGCTTATTGTATATAATGTGTATAATAAGTAAAATTAATTTAGTTTATTGAAATATTTTTTTTTCTATAGTTGTTGAGTTAATTGTACTTGTATATCTAGGCTTTACAAGCTTTGAATGCTCCTGGACTTGCTTCAGCATCTTCATTTCCTCGAAGGGCTGTTACAACTCGCGAATTGGTAAACATTGGTCTGCGCATATGTCAAGCTTTGTCTTATGCCCATTCTCGTCGATGTTTTCACGGTGACATTGCAGCAAGAAATTGCGCGTAAGTTTAATTAATATATTTTTCAAACGTTTAAACACATAATGCATAAAACTTTTATTAATTAACTCGTATGAACTTATAGCATTTTTATTGTTTCCATACATTTCGACACATTGTTTTACAAGGAGGGTACATATAATAAAAGATTAAAAGATGACAATTGTGAGGGTGGACATAATTGGTAGTATTGAGATGAAAATTAAAAGAAAAATTAATTAAAATTAAAATTATTATAATTAAAAAGTCGAATCAGGATAGGTGATTACTTTAAAGGGATGAACTTCGAAATATTGTTTAAAACTACTTGGTAATTCTCACACAGTGAAGAAGTATCAATTCTTTTATTTGTACTATTTTTATAAAGATGTATGAATAACAAAACAATGTGTCGAAACGTATAGAAACAATAAAAATGTTATAAGTTCATACAAGTTTTTAATTGATGTATTGCCCTCAAGACTGAATCTCACATATCTCAACATCAAAATTATTTATATATACATACATATATATATATATATACATATATATATATTTATATATACTAGCATCCCCAGCTACGCTTTGCTGTAGCTTTTATTAAAATCCACTGAATATGTCAATATATTTATGATAGTTTTACTTGGTTACATAACATAAGTAAACTCCATTTACAATTTCATTTTTTTTTCTTTCTTTCTATTTCTTTGAAAGACATATAAAATAATTGTCTTAAAATAAATGTTCATATTCTCAGCTGCTAATATACCTCACACTGAGTCAATTACAATCCAATTAATTTCTCCATATATTCAGAAAATATAATATTAATAAATAACAATAATAATGTTAAAAAATAATAATATTAATCCTTTTTTTATTTTTTTCTGTAAAACAATGCAGATTTTTTTGGAAGTTTTATGCCAAAGTTTCTGTATTTGATGGCTGTCGTATTTCCAATATCAATTAACTGTAATTTCTTGAGATTTATTTGCATGAACACCCGCTATCCTGGATATGAGTGTTTGAGCTGCATTTTGTGCTCAGGCAACTGATTATTTATCTGCTTTTAATTGATGTTTGATTTTTTTGGTGGATTTCATCGTAACTATTAACTTCAAAGCTGTAACATTAACACCTTTCATTTATTGTTATTTGATGCTTAGTGAATTTACTGATACTACTATTTTATAATACTTACATGACTATTTGTTAAAATAAACTGAAGCAAAATTAATACATTAAATTTAATTAGTTGTTGTCAAAATCAACCAAACTTTAGTATTTCTATAAAACAATATTAATTTCTTGAATACAATTCATCTGTGATGTTAAACAATATTAGACCTTATGTTGCTTTTATAAAATTAACAAATTTCGTTATATATTTGCCAGTTTTGTATCATGTAGTATTTATTTCATAATAATATATCTCTATTCACAGAATTGACAAAAATCTGCATGTTCGGCTTGGTGACTTTGCTCTATCAAGGGACTTGTTTCCTCAAGATTACCACTGCCTTGGTGACAATGTGAACCGTCCAGTAAAATGGTTGTCTCATGAAGCTTTAACTCGTAATATTTATGACGCTCCAAATGACATATGGGAATTTGGTGTTTTTTTATGGGAATTGATTACTTTGGGAAGAATGCCTTATAAAGATATTGATCCTAGCGAAGTGGCTCAGTATTTGGAAAAGGGTTATAGATTGGACCAACCTAAAAATTGTCCTGATGAATTGTAAGTCCTGTTTTGTACCTACTTTTTTCATAAGCAATCTGAATTTTATGTCATTCATAATATATTTTATAATTATGAAGTTTATAAAATTATAATTAATATTAACCCCTTAACTTACGATGGCTAGGCCAAACGTACATATTACCCAGAAGCAAATATTACTTATTAGAGCATGGTCCGGTGCGGTAATCGCGAATATTACGAAATATTTATTAATACATAGCTGTAAAGTACAAAATTATTTTTATTTTTGTGATAAACTATACACTGTGTGAGAAAATAGTCACAAACTCATATATAGTCACAATTTTCGAATCTAAATTGTAAGTTAAGGGATTAATAAAATATTATTACAAACGAAAATCTACAATATTTAAGCAAGTTTCAAGGCTATAATATGTACTCTATGTTTTAGATTTATGATAATGTCTTGCTGCTGGGCAATTAATCCAAATGACAGACCAACATTTACTCAACTGGAAATTTACTTGCAAGAGTTTTATGATCAATTAATTTGTTATGTGTAAATAAATTTACTATAGTATCTTGTAGTAAAATGTACTGACTGTATGCACTACTGTTTTTGTAGATGAATACGATTTTAGCAATGTGTCATATTAAAGGATGTGTTATATGTTGTACATTTTGACGAGAGTTTAGTTTTGATATGTATGAATTTTCATCTTCAATAATGTCATTGATATGTGCATTGTATTATCTGTATCAATCTGTATGTTTTGTTAATATGGTTACAAATCTAATATTGGTAATTGTAAAGGTACAATTATTTCATGCTTTTAATGCAAATTTTCATCATTGTACAAATTATTTACTCAATGTTATCTTCCATATTTTCTTCAATAAATCGAACAGATTGGATTTAGTTAATATTTATATAAATTTGTATTATATATTGATAATACTTTTGAAGTTGGATATTAAGTTTTAAGAAAATAAATTATTATTTTTGCTATAATTAACTTCAAGAAAGAGAAGTTTGTTTTGTCAGAAAATCTGATTTACTAATTTTATATTTTTCGACGTTTCATGCCATTCTAAATTGTTTGAGACCAAATTTGAAAAAAGGTAGGTGTGTGTATATGTAAGCCGATTTTTGACCTTTCGTTGGCGTTTTCTCAAAAACAGCTAAACCAAATTCGAAAATTTAAAAGCCTTTTGGTGAAATTCGATGAGAAATACAATGATTAGTTTTACAAGATGATTGGTAAAGCGAGATCTTTTCAATTATATTTAATTATAATTTTTCGTCCACGATTTTACAATAAATCCTTGAATCAATTTTGACAATTTAAAAACCGTTCATGATGTTTTCGTTATTTTATAAATTTCAGGTAAAAATCTAATTAATTAAAATCTATATATACGTGGACAACAGTCCATGTCAGAATAAAATTCTGTCGGAGCAATGCCATGGGAATTATAGCCGAAGGTTCATTATCTGCAAATTGGCATGACAAAAGGATTTTCTGTGAATGTGAGAACAACATTATTTCTTACAAAAAGCATTGCTGTCAAATACTTCATTAAAATTACATAAAGGTATTTAATAATACCTTTAATTATTTAACAATAATTTCTAATGCTTGTATGCATTTTAATAAAATATTTGAAGACTTGTGTTATGCATACATATGTCGATGTAGAGGTTTATTTTTTTAAACAATGAAACTTTGCCTATTTAGACATGCATTGTAAAATATTTTTTACACTATCCATTTCATAAAATGTTATGAAAATTTTATTAGAATAACATTACTACAATACATTTATTCTTTATTTGATTTCTCATCTTTAATATGTAGAATAAAATAATTACATGCATTTATAGTTTTATACAGAATGGTATGAACTAATATAATTTTTATAATTAAGTTGAATTTTATAGGAATTACTTTACTGCCAAAAACAAGATAATGATACTATTATTACTATTTTAGAAATTTCAAAAATTCAGAACGACGTGAACATCTAGATTTTTTCTGTCTGCAATAGACCATCCTGAGTCTAAGAACCTCACAGTGGGCCACCTCAACTGTAAGAAACCTACGAAGCCCGAATAAGGAAGATGAATTTCTGAGCATGAATATTTTAGTGATGTTAAAAGCGAATTGCCTGTGTATATTTAAGAAGTAGATGGCAGTCTGAATGTTTAAAGACTAGTTTTAGTTTTATATGATGCTCTTTACATTGACATTTTGTCAATTCAATTTAATTGCTTGTAAATGATATTTATAGAATTTTTTGAAATTGTTATAGACCTTTTGTAACTGTCTACAACAGAAATTTCTATACAACTCATGGTGTTCAATACAACACAAGTGCATTATTGAGATTTAAATGGACAATAATAATAAATTAAGAGTGCCATGCTCTGGTAATTAAATTGTGCATACATTTTCAATCGCAACTTACTGATTTCTAAAATTCTATAGAATGTGTATGTGTGTTTAATAAATTTGATTTTTGAGAGAGTTAAAGAAACAAATGTGCCAGTATAATATTAGTTACAAATTTTTATCTATTACCATTAAATACTGTTATTAGTTTTTATTTTGGTCATTATAATAAGTAGTTTTTATTTTGTACTTATAACTTACAGATCCATATTTTATTAAGGAACATTTTTATCAAAGCCATGAAAAATGTATTCAAATTGGTTGTTTTCCAAGTTAAGTACAAAATATAATATATGTATGTAATAGATATATATATCTATTACATACATATATTTATATATATATATATATATATATATATATATATATATATGATATTCAGTTTTCAGGGCAATATATATATATATATATATATATATATTTTTTTTTAAAAATATGATTGCACAGTTAGTACAATCGACTGTGATATAATGGTAAGAAAAGATAATTATATCTCTCAGTTGTTGCTTATTACACATGGACAAATTATATATTAGTTTTAAAGTTGTATATTATTTGCTAGTTATTATATATACATTAATGTAATCTCGTTTTTGCCTAAAGAACAATAAAATTTTGTGAATTGATAAATTGAGTTTGTATTATCAAAATTAATATCAATATTACTTAATGCGAATAAACTGTATATTCCAGTTGAAAATATTTTTTATTTCAGGAATTCAATTTTTTATTAAAAATAATAACATTTGATTAATAGACATCTTACAATTCCACAGTAAGTGCAATCTAAGTGACTGCATTAATTACTAACAGGTACTGCATTGTAAATGTATATATTTTAATCGATTTGTAAATTTTAATTTCAATTTTAAAAATCCATGGACTCCTATCCATGCTTTTTTTTTCAAATCGCAATAAGAAAGGGACATATATAGTATAAAGCAAAGCGATATATAAATGTGTATATTGATATTCCTTCAAAACCGGCTCCATAATTACAAATATTTGCGTATAAAGGAATCCAATGGGAATCCACTAATACTCCTTAGTTCGTAAGGCGATTGCATGCAGCGCCTCTATGCAAAATTGTTCCCAATTTGTGAGGAACTACGTAACGACTATAATTGCATATAAAGCAATCCAATGGGAATCCACTAAGATTCCTATGTTTCTAAGTTGATTGCATGCAGCGCCTCTATGCAAAATCGTTCCGAGTTCGATGGGAACTACGTAGTGACTACCGGGTTCATATGGTTCTGTGTTAGATGTCGCCACCGACCTATAAGTCAAACGTTTGACATTTCTTCGACGACCAGTGAATAATGGCCTATTGTATGGAAATTAAATATATAAATTTATATATCGATTTAAACATAATTATATGTGTTTTTGCTGCTTTAGTTTAAGTGGAAACTGGATATATTAATGTTTATATCGATTTATACTCCATTAGATGTGATATATATTATATTATATTATATTATATATAATTTATATATTATATATTAAAGCGATATATAAATGTATATATTGATATTCCATCCAAATCGAGACCATAATTATATATTTAATGGCGTATAAAGCGATATATAAATGTATATACTGATATTCCTTCTAAATCGAGACCATAATTATATATCTAATGGCGTATAAAGCGATATATAAATGTATATATTGATATTCCATCCAAATCGAGACCATAATTATATATCTAATGGCGTATAAAGCGATATATAAATGTATATATTGATATTCCATCCAAATCGAGACCATAATTATATATCTAATGGCGTATAAAGCGATATATAAATGTATATATTGATATTCCATCCAAATCGAGACCATAATTATATATCTAATGGCGTATAAAGCGATATATAAATGTATATATTGATATTCCATCCAAATCGAGACCATAATTATATATCTAATGGCGTATAAACGATATATAAATGTATATATTGATATTCCACCCAAATCGAGACCATAATTATATATCTAATGGCGTATAAAGCGATATATAAATGTATATATTGATATTCCATCCAAATCGAGACCATAATTATATATCTAATGGCGTATAAAACGATATATAAATGTATATATTGATATTCCATCCAAATCGAGACCATAATTATATATCTAATGGCGTATAAAGCGATATATAAATGTATATATTGATATTCCATCCAAATCGAGACCATAATTATATATCTAATGGCGTATAAAGCGATATATAAATGTATATATTGATATTCCTTCCAAATCGAGACCATAATTATATATCTAATGGCGTATAAAGCGATATATAAATGTATATATTGATATTCCATCCAAATCAAAACCATAATTATATATCTAATGGCGTATAAAGCGATATATATATGTATATTGATATTCCTTCTAAATCGAGACCATAATTATATATCTAATGGCGTATAAAGCGATATATAAATGTATATATGGATATTCCTTCTAAATCGAGACCATAATTATATATCTAATGGCGTATAAAGCGATATATAAATGTATATATTGATATTCCTTCTAAATCGAGACCATAATTATATATATAATGGCGCATAAAGCAATATATAAATGTATATATTGATATTCCTTCTAAATCGAGACCATAATTATATATCTAATGGCGTATAAAGCGATATATAAATGTATATATTGATATTCCTTCTAAATCGAGACCATAATTATATATCTAATGGCGTATAAAGCGATATATAAATGTATATATTGATATTCCTTCTAAATCGAGACCATAATTATATATCTAATGGCGTATAAAGCGATATATAAATGTATATATTGATATTCCTTCTAAATCGAGACCATAATTATATATCTAATGGCGTATAAAGCGATATATAAATGCATATATTGATATTCCTTTTAAATCGAGACCATATATATATATATCTAATGGCGTATAAAGCGATATATAAATGTATATATTGATATTCCTTCCAAATCGAGACCATAATTATATATCTAATGGCGTATAAAGCGATATATAAATGTATATATTGATATTCGATCCAAATCGAAACCATAATTATATATCTAATGGCGTATAAAGCGATATATAAATGTATATATTGATGTTTCTCTTAAGCCGGGACCATAATTATATATACTAAGTATAAAGTAGTCCAATAGGAATCCACTAAGATTCATGTGGTTCTAAGGGGATTGCATGCAGCGCCTCTATGCAAAATC